TCACTCCAGACAATAGATGCTTGTTCTGTGTAGTGCTGTGTTGTAATTTGGACTTAATTACTCTGCTCACTCAGGCCCCACGATGACGATGGAGGAGGCTAGTCAGAAGAGAGTGTTTTCTTTCACCTGTCAGCCCCACACCCCAAATACTTACACCCTTGTGGGTAACAATAGCCCTCACCCTGTGTCCCCTCCACCCAGCCCCCTGTCCCGGAGCCCCCTGCCCGTTTTAAGCCAATGAGACAGGTGAACAATATCATTGAAGGAACCCTTTTGGGGGACGTCAGAATCAATCTGAAGATGTGATGGTTGCTGTGGAGCTGTGGTGGGATATTTGTGATACAGCCTTTTTTCATGGGAACAAACTTTTGTCATGATCATAAAAGTAGACAATAGATATATGCTCTACAGTATGGCAGAACAGCAATGATGAGTCGGTCTCAAAAAAGACCAAGGAATGATAAATAATGATCACTATAAAATGTGTTAACTACAAAAAGACTTCACTAAGCTAAACTGCATTATTGTATATCACAATATAAAATTATGTATTTATGATTGAAATCATCAAGCAAAGTAAACAATGATTATGTAATTAATCCTCTGAGGCCAATGACAGATCAGGTGAGCCTTGCAACTTCAGCGCTCAGCAATTGTGTTTTAATTAAGAGATGGTGCTGGTTTTGGTTTAGAGTGTCAATGTTGCCTGAGACAGAGTGAGCTCATTTGTGAGAACAGAAGAAGGCTCTTCTATTTTACTTCTCAAAGAAGAAGGGGAGGAGACACTTATATACTGCTTAGAGGCAATATATACTGTTTAGAGGCTGAATAACAAGAAAGTTTATTTCTTAAGTGCAGTAGTAATATCTTAATTTTAGTAAGATGATTTTATTGGCTTTAAAAATCCAGTTGGTGAATTTTATTTTATTAGGAAATTATCACAAGCTGTAATTAAGTAATAAGTAATAGTCCAGTCCATCCACATAATTGAAAATAACAGTTACAAAAATAAATAAATAAACACACACAATTTAGCTCTCACACAGTGTCTTCTAACCTGCATTTTGAGGTCTGTATTGTTCTGTTGTCAGGTGCAGACTGGTTAAGGTCCCAAATGGCAATGGTCTCCTTCTCTCAGGAGAAGTTAGACAGGTCTCCTCCAGTGTCTGCTTGCATCAAGACAAAAAAGACTTCAAGCAGTTACAAATCATCAGCTACACAATGCTCCAAAGTTGCTTTCTTCAGAAGTCGGTCATTTGCCTGACGTGAAGAGGAACAGGTTGGTGATGTTGCATGTGTACATCAGGTACAAGTTGTGTGGCATGCTTAATCATTCATGTTGTGGGAGGTGGAGGAGCAAGGAGATCTTATTCAGGTCTTACCTGGTATCTGCTCCTCTCAGAGTGTAACATAACGGTGCAGAAACAAGACCCAAACCCTTCAAAGCATCCACATTCTGCAAACAAAATGTTGTCTCTTGTTAAGAAATAGTGTTGAGATTTGATGAGTGAATCAGTGCTGTACAACATGTAAAGAATAACTGTATATAAAACAGAATATTAATAATATTTCTTTACTAGGACATCTTATTTATTTTACTAGGCAGAAAATATGAACAAATAATTTTTGTGCTGTTTACTAAAGTATTTTTACATTCCTTTGATCAGTTATATGTTGAGCAAGTTTACTTGCATGAGTCATAGTCCATTTGGACCACAGATGTGTGAAGACAGACTTAAGTTGTTCAGTTAGTTTTAGGTTACACTTTAAGAGCGACAAGGTGGGAGTAACATGTGTTTATGCTGTAGCCAGGTAACCACCCTCATAAAACACTGGTGTCTGTTTTCTCTCCTCCAGTGACCCACATGTGAGAGAAAAGATCAGGTTTCAAGCAATTTTTGGATTGATTTATGTCATTGCTTTCAGCCAATTGACTTTAATAGCTGTGTCTTCAGCTTATTTAAATAATTCACTGACCACTGCACAGAAGCTGGGCGGGTTACCTTCTGCATAACTCCACCTCTCCCGCCCAGATCTGCAGCAATGCTTGTCCAATCTTAACAAGCTTTCAGCTACCCACTGCGCTCTGATTCAGCACGAGACCCGGCAAATCCAATTACACACGAGTCAGAGAGGTTGATTTTTCCCATTATAGATGCCATGCTGAGAATGAGAGCTGATGATAACACTCGCATTTTGCCACACAACCCCCTCTCTCACTCCAACCTTATTTTGTCTCCATTTCACAGTTTCCCTCCATTTATTTCTCCATCTCTTCCTATCTAATTCTTCTTTCCCAAAGACTGTCTTTCTTCTCTTGTGTCATTCTTTGGATCACCTCTTCTTTCATAGTCCGTTATTCAAATTTTTCAGAATAGCGTAACAAAAGCTGGGTCCTTCATATTTTATTTTAAACTGCTGGCTTTAATAATGTTATTTTACAGTTCACATAAATGTGTACAAGCAATTTGTCAACTTGTTATTACTATAAAATAAAACAAATTTAGCTCCATGTTGCTATCCTGTGTTTTAAATAATTATTCAAAACATGTCTTTCAAGAGGTCATTGCAAAAATGATTTGCATGAATATCAGACAATTTCATTTAAGGTTCCCTAAGTGTTTGCTTTATGGACTTACATGGACCTGCTGTGCCAAATAAAGCTTTTTTCAGAAATTAGACTATTTTTCACTCCAAAGTGAACTTTTGCTCAAACACTTCCGTTTTGGCCACTCAAAAGGCTTGACTTTAGCATTGACTGATGGCTTTGGTGTTGGCCCTGCAGAGAGGTCACCACAATTGACCTCTACAAAAATAAAGATTCAAAAGCTTATCTCTTTGCGCCAAACAATAAGTCTCCAGTAAACAACCCCACACAAAGGGTTGAAGTTCATTTTAATAAAGTCATAGTTTGAGTAATTTGTGTTACCATTTAGCCATTGCTACTCATATCACAAATAGCAAGAAATAGAACAGAAACTTGAATAAACAGTGAATAAACCTATAGCCTATTTGCATAACATGCTATGTAGTATAATGTATACTGAGCTCATTTGCATTACGTTATACATAGGCCTATGTAACTTTTCAGAACCTGCTTGTCTCCATGGTGGTGTTGTTGCTTTGCCTTGAATGGTCCACAGAATGGCAATAAATTTGTCTTATCAAATAAGAATTTGAAAGTGTCCATCCCCTAACTGGAGTCACCTTCAAACAATGCTGGCAGAGTGTTGTCTTTGTACCCTAAGATGCCCTTTCTCGCTGCTGTTAGTCTACAATTCTGAGAGGGTTATTTTGAGTGGGTTAATATTCGGAAAGTGACAGGGGTCAGTCTAGGTAGTGGCAGGACTTTGTGTTTCTGACTGGAGATTAGAGCAATGAGGAGAGCCCACTCTGACAGCAGCTCTATGTTTGGGTAAATACACAAGTCACAAACATTGACTACCATTTAAGTTGGGTTTAAGGGCCTTTGTTTGGCAATTAGCCTTAGCAGGCATGAAAGGGGAAAGTCATTACTCTCTGTAGGTATGCTGAATCGGTGATGTTGCTTTTGTTAATGCGTAAAATGTTACTGTTACAAAAGTCAATGATTTATTCATTCTTAGAGCCTGCCTCTCAAGACTCTTTTTCAAAGCTGGCATTGATAAAATTATATAACGCATTAATTTCTTCATCCTCATCCCTTGTCCTCGTATTGCCTGCCTGTTTCTGGTTGGAGCATAACCCTACGGGCTCTAGGACCTTTACAAGTGACTCACAGAGGATTGCCTTGTTTTTGTCCGTTACGTTCATGCATGTAATCATTGATTGAGTCTATTGTGACAGGCCGATTTACCATCTGTAGACTCTCAAGGGATTGCCACTTCTGTCAGAGCCGTCACCTTTAATTTCTACCTGCAGCCCAGTCCAGGAGGTTATGAGCCCGCCTACCTGTTGTGCTGTGTATTCTTATTATATTTTTTTCATATTTCCATTTGTGTAGACTATAGGCTATATGCACAGCCATTAACTTATTAGTGTAGAAAAGCTCAACCAGTGTTTGGAGTTAATTAGGCTTTGTTTTGTAAATCTGAGTGACTGCCAAATAAATAAAAAGGCCTAAATAAATATAGGTCACTTGGCGCACCTCTTATCCTTCATGTTTTAGACTTTGCTCACTTAGGTTACAAGAAAAGGCTACTTTATGCTCAAACCTGCAGTGCACAGGGCTAAATAATAAAAAAACAACAACAACAACGCAATTTAAGTGATGAATTTTGCATTCTCTGTTTTCTCTACTTCTGAAGTATATGCGGTCGTTTTCCCCCTCCCGCTGAAGCCCACCCGGCCCCCGTGTCCTCGGCCCTCCCTTCGCGCGCCACCCCAACTCCTTTTCCCACTGCTCTGGAGCAAGACGCGGCCACAGCGGCGGGAAGCAAATGATCTACAAGCACTACCCTTCAAACAAAGTTTACTCACATACGCAGATGCCACTGCAGTGGCAACATCATCTCTCACCAGGCTAAGGGGGACTCTACCTGGAGTAACTGGAAAAGGAAATAAGATCACGAATTACGAAAGGAAGACTTTTACCCGGGTCCATGCATAGAGTCTACAATAGTTTTATTTTTTCTTACTATTCACTTGACTTAAAAAGCTAGATAAGCAACATCGCACAAGACGCACATGGATTTTCAATAGTAACCGGGAACCAAAAAGTAATGTGCATGTAAACTGCTCAGCAGTGTATGGCCAATGGGAGAGACGTAGGCTATGTTTTTATTACAGTGTTGTACAAGTGGCATGATCACTGCCAAGAGACAACTCCTTTGGATGTTTTCCGGATGCACTAAAGGAATACACTAAAGTCTTAGTCAATGCTAAGTGAACATCACTCATTTCAGTCCAGTTTGTAGCTTTTACGCCTTGCTGTCAGCTGCAGACTACTGTAGCAGTTGTCAAACTTGACGGGAACCTGCCCCCGGGCGAATGGGAGCTCCCTTCAGATCCGTACTGCGCATGTCAGAGCGCTGGACAGCTCCAAAGAGGGAAATTTAAAAACGGTTTTGGAGCATCTAGGGCAACATACAGAATACACTACAGGGGCTCACGAGCGGCTCACACAATCTGCATTATCACCAGAAAGGTATGTTTTAAACTTGTTTTTAATTATTATCTATGCAGTTAGAGTAAACACAAAACTCTTTAAAATACATATGCGTTAGATTAACCAAATAAATTGAGAAAATACACTGTCCCATAAACCAATTTATATCTAGATCTAATGTAAAAATGTTTTTGAGGAATTAACTACCTCTAGACCTAAGTGATTTTTTTTTTAGATTCTTTAGCTTTACTGCTTACAGCCTTATATTTGGATATAGCATTTTCTGTGCTTTGTGTTCTTATTCTAAAACAGCAAATTCATGGGTTTCTTGGTTATAGATATTTTAAAGATTTTTATAATAGATAAGATACAATAGTTGGTTTTGAAATTTGAATTGCTATAGTAACAATACTAGATTTTCATCACTTTGAAATTCAAGGATAGGCCTAAACAATTTGGACTCAATGTTTTCTAAGAAACCTTTTTGTCTGCAGTATTTATTTGCATTTTCTGTCTTTTTAGAGCACCACCAATCATAGGAAATGATAGAAGGTGGGATCACCTCAAGGATGTCAGGAATTATGGAAAATGCTGGGCATCATCCATCACCACAGGACTACAGGTAATCTGATTTGTTTATGCAGTATATAAATGAGCCAAAATGTCAGTAGCAATTTGTGAACACAAAATCAGTTTTTAGTATTATGACATGTTTGAGCTCAAGATGTTTGGACAATTCTTTTATGCATGCATTGAAGTTGAAGTCGAGTTGAAAATCCTTGAGAATAAATGATTTGGGCTCTGAATGGATATGTCAAAAGGCATCAGCTCTGTTTACACTCCTGCTGTCGAAACATGGAATGTTGAGCCTGTAGGATGGTCTGCTCAGGGAGACAGAGACACAGAGGTCACCAGCGTTCAAAAGTGGATCCCAGTTATAAAAAGGAAAACTTTTTGGTGCATGTTATAAAGTAGGGTGGGGGATCCCAGGTTTAGGCAGGTGTAAATAGACTATAACATTTGTTCTTGTTAAGATGTCCATTTTTTTTTTTTTTTTTTTTTTTTTTTTTTTTTTCGGTCAGTGCATTTAAATAAATGCTTTTCCGAAGTCACTACCTGAAATCTCAGAGCATGTAGTATTTTTCAGATGCAACTCTGTCAGTTTATTTCAATTCCAATATTTGCTGCGAAAATATATTTTTAAAAATGTAATATGTGACAGATGACTGTAGAGACTGTAGATGTGAATTTAAGTACACTATTAAACACCTCTCTATGGTAAATTCATCATCATTACACTTAAACAAACTTAAGGTCTCCAAAGTTGTGTCCCTCATCCTGAGTGCAGTGATGTCACTAGAGCAGCACACACAACCCTGACCCTAAACCAGATTTACACATTTTTGGCCTAAGGCTCAATTTTAGGACAGGCGGGGAGTTGAGATTGGAAAGGGACAGGGAAGCAGATGGCGTCATTATTTGTCTCTCTTATGTGAGGGCTGTCATTCCAACAGATTAATGCAAGGGGCGGATAAAGAAAAGAAACGACACAGACAATCAAGGAAGGGTCTGGCCGAGACAATAGAGCCACGTGCCACTGGGCAGATTTGTCGTTTGGAACACAATAGGTGATCATTTTTCAATAGACAGGGCCAACTGTTGCAGGCAACATGTGCTGCTACTCCATGTTTCAAACGATCTCATTCGTTGTTTACTTATGATTCAGCCAATGGTTAGGGCGAAATTGTGGTCACCTGACAGGGTTGATTTTTTATGGGGGGAGGTGAAGGGGTCCTCGACCAACCCTTGTGGTAACTGAATTGTATGTGTTGTCATAGTAACTCCAATTAGTAAACCCTTGTGCACATAAGTGTGCGCACTAACAGAGCTGTATGGGTCTCTACTGTTATTATGTTTTTAGAATTTTTTTTTGGTTAAAATGAATTTTATAATATTTATGTTGAAAAAAAACAAACAAACAGTGATGCATTCTGTATTAATGTATTTTTTGTGTTATATTTATAATATATAACACTACGCAATATATTTTACAATGTATGAAATAGTCATGTTGCAATTAAGAGTAACTTTGAAAAATAAAATTCATTGTTTAAATAGTATGAATGGGTTGTTAAACTGGTTCAGTCATCAGGCTGTTTAACTGTCACTTTTTTCTTAATCTCCTTATGGTAATTTGTGAATGACATGTCTAATACAGTAGATTTGTTTACAGATTCTTAAGATCTTGACTCTCAATTTTACCTACTAGTCACTGGAAAATTAAATTTTATGAAGACTTCAGACTCAAGTCTATCTTTGTGTCAATAAGGCAGATGACAGTTGTTTTAACCCCTCAACCCCCCTTGTTTCGTTCAGGCTCCTGACCACGGATCCTTCCCAGCTCAGAGAAGAGGACCTCCCTGGGGACCTGCAGTCTCTGTCATGGCTTACCTCGGTGGATGTGCCCCGGTTACAGCAGATGGTCGATGGCAGAGAACACAGCAACGGCAGTTTGCTGCAGCAGCAGACAGGTGAGGTGACAAGAATGACAGTGCAACATTTAAAAATTAGCAGCTGCTCAGCCTGAACCGATCTGAATGGTCCTTGGCCTCACTGAGAGTGTGGGATCCTCATCAAAACCTAAAAGTAAAAACAAGCCAATATTTTGCAGCTGCAGTTAAAAACATTAATGTTACAAATAATACTTAATTATAAACAATTACATTTTTCTTGTTTATAGGCCAGATAAACAGCATACCCATGACTGGACAAAGCTCCATGCTTCATCTTCAGAGCAACATGCAGCACAGCCCCTTGGGAATCAGTATCATCAACAGCCACAGTGGAAGTGTGAGTTTTCACATATTCTTTGTTTTTGTTCTCAGCAAATCCTTTTTATATTTTACTCAATTCATCTGTCTCCTCTATGTAGATGTCTCCTTTTTCCATGAGTGGTGTACCCTCTCCTGGATACCAGTGCCCTACCTCAGTGTATCAGCCTACACAACAAGTGTATTCACTAGCTCAAAATGGACAACAGGTACAACAATACCCAAGTAAACTCACTGAACAATTAGTGATCATGTAAATGTACAAATCTAAAGTTCCAATTGTATCTTTCAGTGTTCAGCTGGTGGATTATACAATAATGTCTCTTTTCCCAACCAAAGTATCTACACACAACCGCGCCTCGCTCCTCAAGAACAGGAATTACAGCCCAAGACATTTCCCAAACCCATTTACTCGTACAGGTAAAATGCTATGAAAAGGAATTAATAGTGACATTAAAGGAATGTAAACCTAAATAAATGTGTTGTCTTTTTAAGCTGTTTGATTGCCATGGCATTAAAAAACAGCAAAACTGGCAGCCTACCAGTTAGTGAGATCTATAGCTTTATGAAGGAGCACTTTCCCTATTTTAAGGTAAAGAATACAAAATATATTTAAAGATGTAAAGTAAATGTATAAACACAAAGTCATATCTAACTAGCTAAGTAATAGTTGGTGTAAATATTTATTTTTTGTGCTTCTCCAGACTGCACCTGATGGTTGGAAAAATTCTGTGAGACACAATCTTTCTTTAAATAAATGCTTTGAAAAAGTTGAGAACAAGGCAAGCAGCTCATCCCGCAAAGGTTGTCTTTGGGCACTGAACCCTGCCAAAATTGACAAGATGGAGGAAGAGATGCAGAAGTGGAAACGTAAGGACCTCCCAGCTATACGCCGCAGCATGGCTAACCCTGGTAAAAACTACAAAATAATAATTGTAGTTATTGCAGCAATCCAATGCAATATGAGCTGTCTGTAATGGCGGGTTTGTTTTGTTCACAGATGAACTGGATAAACTGATCACTGACCGTCCTGAAAACTGCAGACGTAAGGCTTTAGACCCCAGCATGACCCGGCTGCCCACCGGTCCCTCAGTCCTCCCAATGGCCGCCCCAACACAGCTGCAGTGCCCGCCTATAGTCACTTTGTCCCTGCCCTGTTTGCCAATGCACCAGCACCACCAGCTCCACTCAAAGCTACAGACTCGACTACAGCCCATGTCCCCTGCCCCAGCACAGACTCCGCCTCTACATGTAGTCCCTGATGTCTCCCACAGTCCACTTGCCCACCAGCCCACCAAACCACCGGAGGACTTCTACTCTGTGCAGGCTGACACACACACAGAGGTAGACACACTGGATCCTAGCATTATGGACTTTGCTTTTCAAGGTAAGAAATACATCTTTAGTATGAAATAGCCTGCAACTATGGCAACATGATAATGGACCTCTTGACTTTTTCTGCAGGTAATATTTGGGAAGAAATGAAAGATGACAGCTTTAACTTGGACGCCCTGGGCAGCTTCAGTAACTCTCCACTGAGACTTTCAGACTGTGACCTGGGATCAGCAAGTGTCCCACTGGGTTCTAACACATCAAACCTGCCTGATGTGCAAGTGACTGGCCTGTACACTTCATATCCGCCCCAGGAGCCCCCCTCCTCCCAATACATGAGCACAGGGGCTAGCAGCAAACCCATCATCTTGCTTTGAAGTCACTGAAAGAAGATGTAAAGATGAACTGTCACCAGCAGTCACTCTGCAGAACACAAACAGGTCATCAATGGATGGAGGGCATAATTGAAAAGCAGTCAAACTAAGTGCAGTGACATAAAAAGTTTAAAGTATTTTACTTTATTTTACAGAAAGCAAATATACATTTTAAGTGACTGTTCTGCATTTACAATGTCCTGCCATTCTGTAGCCTGCTGTAGCCTTGTATTGTGATAGACTGCTGTTTCTTATTTATATTTATAAAATCAATTGGAGGGGTTAGATATTTTATCACTCTCATTGAAAATATTTGAATATTTCACAGAAAGCTTTGTATTTAACTACTGTGTCTCACTGCCTATTGTAGGCCAAGTGAAACTTTGAGTCATGATTTTACACTCTGTGTTAACTGTGTAAACAATTCACAGTAAAAATAAGAAATAAAAAGGATAAACATTGTTTCTTTTGGAAAAATATACCATGATATTTATTAAGTTAACAATCAGCCCTTGAAAAATACTATACTGAGACTTGTACATTCATATGAAATGTTACGACTTGAAGAAACATTTAGCATTTTCTGCCCTTTTCAAAAACCTGAGTTAGACAAAACTGTGTGAAAAAAATCAACTTACAGTACCTTAGTATCACCTTACAGTGAAGTGAGCGATAATGCATAGACACAACATAAATCACAAGTTAACTGCACATTAACTCTTTACTGGCCTTAAATACAAGGTAGTGTGCCTTAAGGGGTTCACTGACTGCAAACAGCCTTCGGTTGTTTCACCTGTGGCCTTTACATCAACAACATGGTTACCTTTTGTTAAACCATTCAGTGTTTGTATTCAAGTGTTCTTGTTTAATATTCTGGTGGTGACATTGAAATCAATGACAAGTCACTACATCTAAATAATAATAGAAATCCTACACATTACTGTCTGTGATAATTTTATCTATAATGTAATACTTCAATAGCAGCAGCATGGGCATTAAAATACAATGAATTTGAGTGCACAACAGTTAACAACAGTGTAAAAAAAACTCACTAACAAGGCTGACATGTCAGTGAGAAGGCAGTAAGAAAAGCATTTATATAATAATACATTTCTGCTGAAGGTATTGGGTCATCTCTGATTCCCTGTTGCATCTAACCAGAAATATTTACTTGAACAATCAGTAGTGTCACAGCTTTATTAGAGTATCACTAAAAGGTTAACTGGTGCTTCGGTTATCCATTGTTGCCAGCAAATGACACAGTTTTGCCCTCTGAGCTGGAGTCACATTTTGGCTCATGTGGATGATACAGTCCATTGCAACATCTGGGTTGGCCTCCACCAAGCTAAACAAAAAGAAAGAATCATTAAAATAAAGGAAAGAAATTCAATGCAACTGTTATTTTACTACATTAGGGTGTGTGAGTACCTGCGAATATGTTTGAGAGTGTTTTCCCTCTTAAGATACTTAATATTTTCACGGATGGATGATTGAGTGCCATCTTCTGTGGACAACTGCTTTTCAAGCCACTCCACTACAGCTTGGTTATTATCCCAGAGATAAGTCTGAAGAATAAGCATATGCATGGCAATTACAAATAATTTCTTGTGTTGCTTTCATAAAAACTTAAAATATAAACACACACCTTGACAGTTCCCTCAGTCTCCACAAACCAACGGCGCAGCATAGAGTGCATGTGCCCATCACTCAGGTCTTTGTTGGCCTGCAAGATCTCACATTTGACCACCTGCTCCAACAAAAGTCGACGCAAACGCCAGTAGAAAAAGGACCGCACATTCTTCCATTCCAAAATATCCTGCAAAAATATAATTACCTATTTATAATGTGCTTCTACAACATAATAGCGAGTCTGCAAGTAAACTTACAGTGATGGCCCCCTTCTCCTGCATCCTGCCAGGGGTGTCATGGAGGTCAACAAACTGCACTGCCACCTGGTGGTAGATGGGAATCAAGAACTCTTCTCTTGCTTTAAGTTTGGATTCCAGCTGTCTGCATTCTTTTTCTGATAACTCTGGGGATGCTGAAAATATAGTATATATACATATATTTAGGATTCTGGGATGTTTAGTGTTTATAGGGATTAATTTTGCCGTCTCTTACAAAGCTCCTGTGCAATGCTTGCATAAACAGGATCCAGTCTTCTCATTGTCTTCACTAGGTCTTTCCTTCTGAATTTAATCTCCACTGTGCCCTCTGCCTCAAGCACACCACCCCTGAAGGCCAAAATCAAGTAAGAGTAAGACAATATAGTCATAACAATAAGAATTAATATCTGTATAATGAAAGCACAATGCACCTGCTCTCTCGGTCTGCATACATCTCCATACACAGTGGGTTGATAGTTGGGTCAATGACTACCCATGATCCTCCTCTCAGCTCAGCATGAGGGGGGATGTACACTAGCACTGGCTGGTGGAATGTATGTAAGGCATCTACAATGTAGGCTCCGAACTTAAGCACTTGATCGTACATATCTTAAAAGGAAAAACATTTATAGTTTGAAGGCAAAATGTTGCACAAAGACAGAGCAAAAATAACATACCCTTCATGCCCCCAGAAAAGCCTCTCCAGTTGGCAAATATGATGAGGGGCAGTCGTTCACGGTTAAAGTCATTAATGGCTTGAGCTGTTTTGAATGCAGAGTCTGGAAACCAAACCTGCCCGGCCTGCTGCAAAACCTAGGGCAAAATCAAAATGCACAATCCAGTCCAACTCAAAACAGGCACTCTCTTAATTTTACATTTACTTACTTCATTTACTTACTTTAGACTCTGAATCTAAATTTGCAGGATCGGCTGGGACAGTGAATTCAACTGTGCGGGTTTCCACAGCAATGACACCAAGAGGTATTCCTCCTAATCTGTAAAATTTGTGTTATTAGAGCCAATAATACCCTTAATTAATAATTTTTTTAAAGCCAAGAATATTACCGTGCTCTACCCACAACAACAGTTTGTGCCCAAGAACTCATGATCTCCATAAAAGAACCATAATCAAAGAATCCACTCAGCCAATCACCTTTGGCTGCTGAAAGTGTAACAATTTGATGATTATTTAAAAAGAAATATACATATGTTTTTTACATTATATTTTGACACATCTACTTACTGGTTCTTCCAGCCAGCATCCATCGTGGGTCATAGGGTGCTTTTGTGGGAGTGAAGTCAATCTCTCGGTCTACAGGGTCCGTAATTGATAGAGCAGGCACAGGGGAGTATTTGTTCTGACAAAGGTCAAAAAGAGAGTTTTTTTAAGTATATTTTTATATTCTATTTATCATTTTGCACACTTTACCATTGGCATGTAAGAGAGCCACTGTAGAATAGTGGTGACACCCTCAAAGTCATCTGGCACTGTGGTGTGTGTGACTCCATTGTTGTGCATGATCTGGATTCCTCCCAGTTGGTTATTGGAAGTATAGACTTCTCTCCCAAGGACCTGCTCAGACAACAACCAGAAGCATGTGGTATAATTAGGCTGCATTCAGACTGCAGCCTGAAGTGACCCAAATCCGATTTTTTGGCTTCTATGTGACCTGTATCCGATCTTTTAATGACAGTCTGAACGGCACAGATCCAAATTTTTCAAATGCGACCCAGGCCACTTGGATTTGTGGTCCTGAAACCAATACATATCCGATCTTTTGACATGCGACTTCAGTCTGAACAGCCAAAGCGCATCCATCCGAACTACACGTCATCAACAAGCGACAAACGTAACTATTCTGCGCTGAAGCAGGCGGAAACCGGAACTGTAAAATCGCCAGGTGCTCAATGCTTGCGTCCATGTTTGGACAACTTCCGTAAACACAGAGCACGCTCGCTGCGGTTGACGCATGGGGTTGACGTCATCGTGTCCTCCAGTCCGCATGCGGGACACTTTCTGGCCGTTTACTGTTCACACTGGAGTCACAGACAAGTCGCATTTAATTGTAAATGTGAACGACCTCGCAAAAACATCGGATTTCACAAAAAAATCGGAATTGAGCATTAAGCCCTGCAGTCTGAACGTAGCCATACTGTCCCAGACTCATCATATTGCTTCAATACCTCTTTAGTACATATTTCACTTTTCAAACTTGTTTAAAATGTGTATTAAACAAACCTTATTCAAAGCACCTGCTCCAGTCAGAATTATATGGGAGTTTTCCACCTGAATCACCCTCTGTCCTAATCGAACCAAGTAAGCACCAATGCCAATAGCTCGACATGTCACCTGCAAATAGAGCAAGTAAGACATTTGACAAAAACATTTCTGTTTAAAATATTATTTGTCTTACCATGCTGATAGTAATGATGTCCTCATAGGCTTGAGATGATTCTCCTGCAATGGTGCCAGAACCTCGAAGGTTCTCAACCCCAAGACCATCATCTTTTCCAATAATATCTGTGATAATATACCTATAATATATAGGTATAATGGAGACATTACAAGAAAAATAAAACACAAGTGTTAATATGACAAGTAAATTTTTTTTCTACATGTTTTAAGAGTATAAAAAATATACTAAATATCACTGAATTTAACTTATATGATCTACCTTGACTCTCCATCTTCCTCCACATGGTGACAGTGGACTGAACTAGAAGAGCTGATGCGTGTATAGTCCTGAGGCGTCAGGTAAAGATACTTAAACCCCTGTGGAGAATTTGTATTGTGAAGATGTGAAGTCAAAAAAGGTCTGAGTATTTGTGTGATTTAAAAAAAATACTTTGTAAGGATCAGTGGGGTCTATCCAGGCCACTTGAAACATGTGTTTAACCTCCTCTGCGAGGCCAATTCGAGCACCACTGTTGGCCGCAATGTAGATGCGTGGAATGCCTTCTACTCGGGCCAGTTCAGATGCTCTAAGAAACAGCTCATCCTCTTGGGGACCAAATGAACCAATCATGTGTGTGATGTCATTACAAATCACAACAATATCACGGCCTTCAGGGTACTCCTGCGTTTTCATTCTCATCTTAAATGCAACCATTCCTACCTGCAAACATAGGGAAAAAGATGTTACAGTTGGAAAAATATACACAAAAATTAAATGCTTAACGACTCTGTACTTTATTATCTCCAGGCAGGCGGTTCATCTGGACTAGTCGCCCATGTGAATCCAGCACCAGCTCAGTACACATGAGCACATCCTTAGGAGCTTTGTCTCTTGGTCCCCATAAGTTGAACAGTGCCTGTGAGTTGATTTATACAACTTAATAGGAAAATTAATAATACAGAAAATAATAGTCGATTATACATGAACTAAAGGAGTACCTGTCTGAACATCTCAGGAAAGTCATAGACATATGTGGTACCCAGAGTCTGGGCCTGAAATCTCTTAGCTTGTAACAGGTCTTTGGTCACATAGGGAGTGTTGATGAGCATGCCATGCAGAGGACCTGCCTTCTCGCCATATGACTGAAACATAATCTGAAATATCACAGTAAAAAAAAAAAAA